ACAGCTGAGGGTAATGACACCACAGTGAGGGTAATGACACCACAGCTGAGGGTAATGACACACAGTGAGGGTTAATGACATAATGACACACAGTGAGGGTAATGACACACAGCGAGGGTAATGACACACAGCGAGGGTGATGACACGCAGTGAGGGTAATGACACCACAGTGAGGGTGATGACACACAGTGAGGGGTAATGACACACAGCGAGGGTTAATGACACACAGTCGAGGGTAATGACACACAGTGAGGGTAATGACACACAGCGAGGGTGATGACACACAGCGAGGGTGATGACACACAGTGAGGGTAATGACACACAGTGAGGGTGATGACACACAGTGAGGGTAATGACACACAGCGAGGGTAATGACACACAGTGAGGGTAATGACACACAGTGAGGGTAATGACACACAGCGAGGGTGATGACACACAGTGAGGGTGATGACACACAGCGAGGGTAATGACACACAGCGAGGGTAATGACACACAGTGAGGGTAATGACACACAGTGAGGGTGATGACACACAGTGAGGGTAATGACACACAGCGAGGGTAATGACACACAGTGAGGGTGATGACACACAGTGAGGGTGATGACACACAGTGAGGGTAATGACACACAGTGAGGGTGATGACACACAGTGAGGGTAATGACACACAGTGAGGGTAATGACACACAGCGAGGGTAATGACACACAGTGAGGGTGATGACACACAGTGAGGGTAATGACACACAGTGAGGGTAATGACACACAGTGAGGGTAATGACACACAGTGAGGGTAATGACACACAGTGAGGGTAATGCCACACAGCGAGGGTAATGACACACAGTGAGGGTGATGACACACAGTGAGGGTAATGACACACAGTGAGGGTGATGACACACAGTGAGGGTAATGACACACAGTGAGGGTAATGACACACAGCGAGGGTAATGACACACAGCGAGGGTAATGACACACAGCGAGGGTAATGACACACAGCGAGGGTGATGACACACAGTGAGGGTAATGACACACAGTGAGGGTAATGACACACAGTGAGGGTAATGACACACAGTGAGGGTAATGACACACAGCGAGGGTAATGACACACAGTGAGGGTAATGACACACAGTGAGGGTAATGACACACAGCGAGGGTGATGACACACAGTGAGGGTAATGACACACAGCGAGGGTAATGACACACAGCGAGGGTGATGACACACAGTGAGGGTAATGACACACAGTGAGGGTAATGACACACAGTGAGGGTAATGACACACAGTGAGGGTAATGACACACAGCGAGGGTAATGACACACAGTGAGGGTAATGACACACAGTGAGGGTGATGACACACAGTGAGGGTGATGACACACAGCGAGGGTAATGACACACAGTGAGGGTAATGACACACAGTGAGGGTAATGACACACAGTGAGGGTAATGACACACAGTGAGGGTAATGACACACAGTGAGGGTAATGACACACAGTGAGGGTGATGACACGCAGTGAGGGTAATGACACACAGTGAGGGTGATGACACACAGTGAGGGTAATGACACACAGTGAGGGTGATGACACACAGTGAGGGTAATGACACACAGTGAGGGTAATGACACACAGTGAGGTAATGACACACAGTGAGGGTAATGACACACAGTGAGGGTAATGACACACAGTGAGGGTAATGACACACAGTGAGGGTAATGACACACAGCGAGGGTAATGACACACAGCGAGGGTAATGACACACAGTGAGGGTAATGACACACAGTGAGGGTAATGACACACAGTGAGGGTAATGACACACAGTGAGGGTAATGACACACAGTGAGGGTAATGACACACAGCGAGGGTAATGACACACAGTGAGGGTAATGACACACAGTGAGGGTAATGACACACAGTGAGGGTGATGACACACAGTGAGGGTAATGACACACAGCGAGGGTAATGACACACAGTGAGGGTAATGACACACAGCGAGGGTGATGACACACAGTGAGGGTAATGACACACAGTGAGGGTGATGACACGCAGTGAGGGTAATGACACACAGCGAGGGTAATGACACACAGCGAGGGTAATGACACACAGTGAGGGTGATGACACACAGTGAGGGTGATGACACACAGTGAGGGTAATGACACACAGTGAGGGTAATGACACACAGCGAGGGTAATGACACACAGTGAGGGTAATGACACACAGTGAGGGTAATGACACACAGTGAGGGTGATGACACACAGTGAGGGTAATGACACACAGTGAGGGTAATGACACACAGTGAGGGTAATGACACACAGTGAGGGTGATGACACACAGTGAGGGTAATGACACACAGCGAGGGTAATGACACACAGTGAGGGTAATGACACACAGTGAGGGTGATGACACACAGTGAGGGTAATGACACACAGTGAGGGTGATGACACGCAGTGAGGGTAATGACACACAGCGAGGGTAATGACACACAGCGAGGGTAATGACACACAGTGAGGGTGATGACACACAGTGAGGGTGATGACACACAGTGAGGGTAATGACACACAGTGAGGGTAATGACACACAGCGAGGGTAATGACACGCAGCGAGGGTAATGACACGCAGTGAGGGTAATGACACACAGTGAGGGTAATGACACACAGTGAGGGTAATGACACACAGTGAGGGTAATGACACACAGTGAGGGTAATGACACACAGTGAGGGTAATGACACACAGCGAGGGTAATGACACACAGTGAGGGTAATGACACACAGTGAGGGTAATGACACACAGTGAGGGTAATGACACACAGTGAGGGTAATGACACATAGTGAGGGTAATGACACAGTGAGAGCGCTGATACAGTGTGAGTAGTGACAGTGAAGCTACTGACACGCAGTGAGGGTACTGACAGTGAGAGTACTGACACTCAATGAGTACTCATACGCAGTGAGAGTACTGACACACAGTGACTAGTGACACAGTGAGGGTGCTGACACAACGGTAGTAATGAGACAGTGCAAGTACTGACACAGTGAGAGTATTGACAGTGACACATTGAGATTGCTGACACAGTACTGTACTGACACACTCATGGGACTGACAATGACAAAATTGACATGAGTGTATGGACACACAGTAAGTACTGGCACAGTAAGCACTGACATAGTTAGTAGTGACACAGTTAGTATGTACACAGAGTGAGTAGTGACAGAGTACTGACACAGTGGGTAGTGACACACGGAGTGATTAGTGACAGTGAGCAGTGACACGCACAGTGAGTAGTAACACAGTGAGTAGTGACACAAAGAGAGTACTGACACAGCATTGACACACAGTGAATAGTGACACACATAGGGAGTAGTGGCACAGTAAGTAGTGACACTCGGAGCAGTGACAGTGAGTGTACTCATTTTAGTGACACAGTAGTGACACAGTGAGTAGTGACACACAGTGAGAAGTGACAGTGAGTAGTGATACAGTAGTGACACAGCGAGTAGTGACACAGTGAGTAGTGACACACAGTGAGTAGGGATACACATAGGGAGTAGTGACACAGTGAATACTGACACATTGAGTGTAAAGAGTGACACAGGGAGTAGTGACACACAAATTAGTTACATAGTGAGTAGTGATACAGAATGAGTACTGACACACACATAGTGAGTAGTGACAAAGTGGGTATTGACTGAATAGTAAAACAGAGTGATTAGTGACACCGAGTAGTGAAACACAAAGTGAGTACTGACACACAGTATTGACAGTGGCAGTGAAAATGCTGACAGTACTGTACTGACACAGTGACAGAATTAATGCGAGAGTACGGACACACAGAGTGAGTGGTGACACACAGAGTGAGTGGTAACACACAGAGTGAGTGGTGACACAGAGTGAGTAGTGACACATACAGAGTGAGTAGTGACACACACAGAGTGAGTGGTGACACACACAGAGTGAGTAGTGACACATACAGAGTGAGTAGTGACACACACAGTGAGTAGTGACACAGAGTGAGTAGTGACACACACAGAGTGAGTAGTGACACATACAGAGTGAGTAGTGACACAGAGTGAGTGGTGACACACACAGAGTGAGTAGTGACACACAGAGTGAGTAGTGACACACACAGAGTGAGTGGTGACACACAGAGTGAGTGGTGACACACACAGAGTGAGTAGTGACACACAGAGTGAGTAGTGACACACACAGAGTGAGTAGTGACACACACAGAGTGAGTGGTGACACATACAGAGTGAGTAGTGACACACAGAGTGAGTAGTGACACACACAGAGTGAGTAGTGACACACACAGAGTGAGTGGTGACACATACAGAGTGAGTAGTGACACACAGAGTGAGTGGTGACACACACAGAGTGAGTAGTGACACACAGAGTGAGTAGTGACACATACAGAGTGAGTAGTGACACATACAGAGTGAGTAGTGACACATACAGAGTGAGTAGTGACACACACAGTGAGTGGTGACACACACAGAGTGAGTAGTGACACATACAGAGTGAGTAGTGACACATACAGAGTGGGTAGTGACACATACAGAGTGAGTAGTGACACATACAGAGTGAATAGTGACACATACAGAGTGAGTGGTGACACACACAGTGAGTGGTGACACAGAGTGAGTGGTGACACACACAGTGAGTGGTGACACACACAGTGAGTGGTGACACACTGACACACAGTGAGTGGTGACACACACAGTGAGTGGTGACACAGAGTGAGTAGTGACACATACAGAGTGAGTAGTGACACACTGACACACAGTGAGTGGTGACACAGAGTGAGTAGTGACACACACAGTGAGTAGTGACACACAGAGTGAGGTGAGTGGTGACACACACAGAGTGAGTGGTGACACAGAGTGAGTAGTGACACACACAGTGAGTGGTGACACACACAGTGAGTGGTGACACACAGAGTGAGTAGTGACACACACAGTGAGTGGTGACACACACAGTGAGTGGTGACACACAGTGTTGTGTTCACGACCGCCACGTACCCCGTGTGCTCGCTGTGCCATGTTCCTCAAGGGCCGTGAGTGAGCGCCTTCTCTGGGACGCTGCTGCTGCTGCTGCTGGAGCTGTTGTTGTTGTAGCTGCTGTTGTAGCTGCTGCTGTTGTAGCTGCTGTTGTTGCTGCTGTTGTTGTTGTAGCTGCTGCTGTTGTTGTTGTTGCTGCTGTTGTTGTTGTAGCTGCTGTTGTTGTTGTAGCTGCTGCTGTAGCTACTGTTGTTGTTGTAGCTGCTGCTGTAGCTGTTGTTGTTGCTGCTGCTGCTGTAGCTGTTGTTGTTGTAGCTGCTGTTGTTGTAGCTGCTGCTGCTGTTGTAGCTGCTGCTGTTGTTGTAGCTGCTGTTGTTGTTGTAGCTGCTGCTGCTGTTGTAGCTGCTGTTGTTGTTGTAGCTGCTGCTGTTGTAGCTGTTGCTGTTGTAGCTGCTGTTGTTGTTGTAGCTGTTGTTGTAACTGCTGTTGTTGTAGCTGCTGCTATTGTTGTTGTTGTAGCTGCTGCTGCTATTGTTGTTGTAGCTGCTGCTGCTGTAGCTGCTGTGTTGTAGCTGCTGCTGTTGTTGTAGCTGCTGCTGTTGTTGTGTAGCTGCTGCTGTGTTGTAGCTTCTGCTGCTGTTGCTGTTGTTGTTGTAGCTGCTGCTGCTGTTGTTGTAGCTGCTGCTGTTGTTGTAGTTGCTGCTGTTGTTGTTGTTGTAGCTGCTGTTGTTGTTGTAGCTGCTGCTGCTGTTGTTGTTGTAGCTGCTGTTGTTGTTGTAGCTGCTGCTGCTGTTGTTGTTGTAGCTGCTGTTGTTGTTGTAGCTGCTGTTGTTGTTGTTGTTGCTGCTGTTGTTGTTGTAGCTGCTGCTGCTGTTGTTGTTGTTGCTGCTGTTGTTGTTGTAGCTGCTGCTGCTGTTGTTGTTGTTGCTGCTGTTGTTGTTGTAGCTGCTGCTGCTGTTGTTGTTGTAGCTGCTGCTGCTGTTGTTGTTGTAGCTGCTGTTGTTGTTGTAGCTGCTGCTGCTGTTGGTGTTGTAGCTGCTGCTGTAGCTGCTGCTGCTGTTGTAGCTGCTGCTGTTGTTGTTGTAGCTGCTGCTGTTGTTGTAGCTGCTGCTGTTGTTTTTGTAGCTGCTGTTGTGCTCACGCAGCGCCACGGATCTCCCGTGTAGAGCAGCCTGGCAGCTGGCTACACGTGACATCATCCGCCGTGTCACAAATCAACATCGACTTACACAGCGAGAGAGCTCACACACAGCGTGACTACTGACACACAGTGAGAGTACTCACTCTGTGTGTCAGTACTTACACAGTGAGTACTGACACACAGTGTGAGTGAGTACTGATAGTGCTTACTGACAGTGAGTAATGTAACAGTGTGAGGGTAATGACAGTGTGAGCACTGACACACAGCGAGTACTGGCACTGCAAGTTACGACACAGTGAGGGTGCTCACACACTGTGACTAATGACACACACGGTGAGTACTGACACAGTGATAGCAATTCTAGATTTGAAGCTTTCGTGACTGCAAGGATTCATACTCTTAGTTTTTTCGGTAAAGTCACGTAGGTAAAAAAAATACATTAAAATTAATAAAAATAAAATAATAAAAATGAGGACGTTTCGGAGGCAACACAAGTCTCCGTCATCAGGTGGGACCGTCACAGCCAGATTTGCTGCATCACTTGATACAGCAACGTCGTGATTTTTATTATTTTATTTTTATTAATTTTAATTTTATTTTTTTACCTACGTGCCTTTACCGAAAAAACTAAGAGTAGTGATAGCAATGGCACACAGTAAGATTACAGACACAGTAAGAGTAGTGACACAAGTGACACTGATGAATTGCACAGTGAGAGTGCTGAAACAGCGAGGTCTGACACACGGTGAGTAATGACACCGTTGTAAGAGTGCTGACAGTGCTCACTGACACAGCGAGTCGTGATACACAGCGAGTAGTGACACACAGCGAGTGTAGCAGTCGTAGTAGTCGCGGCGCGTGCGTCGTAGTCACCGGTAGCGGCGTGGCGCACGCAGCGCGCTGCCTGGAGCAGTGACACCACGTGGTGGTGGTGGTGGTCACGTGAGCAGTGACACCACGTGGTGGTGGTGGTGGTCACGTGAGCAGTGACACCACGTGGTGGTGGTGGTGGCCTCGTCACCACTGCGCAGCGCAGGGGCTGCCGCGGTGCACTTGGAACGACCACTGGGGAATGATCCTCACAACAACAACAACCACTCACAACAACAACAACCACTCACAACAACAAATACTCACAACAACAAACAACTCACGATAACCATTTACAACAGCAACCACTCAACAACAACTAATAACGACAGCAATTCACAACAACCACCCAGTACAACAACCACCCACTTTAACACCAACCACTCACAACAACCACCCACAACAACACCAACCACTCACAACCACTCACAAACACCCACAACAACACCACAACCACTCACAACAACACCACAACCATTCACTGCAACAACTACTCAAAACAACAAATACTCAGAACAGCCACCACCAACAACCACTCACAACAATAACCACTGTGTGCGCGCACGGTGTGTGTGCGTGTGTGCACACGGTGTGTGTGTATCGGGTGTAGTGGAGGGACCTCTGAGTCTGACTCTCCTCTCTCTCTGGTCACAGGTCAGACCTTCGTGGACTGTGGAGGCCTCAAGTTCCTGCTGAGCCTGCTCAAGCACCACGCCTGCCAGGGCCTCGTGCTGCGCTTTGTGAGTCACGCGGAGAAGGGGGGGGGGAGTCAAAGATGGTTAGAGAGAGAGTGAGTGAGAGAGTTAGAGAGAGAGAGCGAGTTATAGACAGAGTGAGTTAGACAGAGAGGGTTATAGACATGACTGCACGTTATTGACGTCCTAACAGACGAACCTTACAGCTCACAATGAGGGAGACAGACTTAGAAGACAAACGCCCACGTCGAGTGGGAGCATCCTCAGGGTGTCTTGTCGAGGTGCTTGTAGAGTCGCCAGTGTGAGTCCTGCCGGATCAGCTGTTTGTGCACTCTGTGTACATTCTTGTGTTTCTGCTTCTGCTGTGTGTGCCGTGTTGTTGTTCGCGTCTTGCGTAGCAAGTCCGTGCTGCGCCGTGCGATGTTGCCGTGCCGTGTGTGCCCTGAGCGTCTCACCCGCCTCTACTACAAGTTGTCACTTGGGGATTGCGTCTTCAGATGCGGCAGCGATCTCGCGTGCGGTCCGTTCTGCCTCCTCCTCCTCCTCTATCCGCTCCTCCTGCTCTGGCGCGATGAGCTTCAGCCGCGTGCCAATCTGGCGGAGCCGTAGACACGAGGCCACGTGGCAGTGCAGAGTGGCGCGCCGTCTCACACAGTGGAGACGCTCGCACCGGGGGCACCATCATGCTGCTGCTGGACGTCTCGAGAGAGAGGTAGAGACCGAGGTAGAGAACGAGGCAGAGAACGAGGTAGAGAGTGAGTTAGAGAGTGGGTGAGTTGGTGACTGTGTATCACTGTACCGCTGTCTGTGTGTGAGAGTTGTGGGGAGCGGGAGTGCAGTGGCTGGCGCGCTGCGCTACGACGATTATGTAAGCCGGTCCTGGGCCTCCCCTAGGTTGATTCGGCCTCAAAAGAGCAGCTGGTGCAGAGTGTGAACATCGTCACTAGGGGGACAAAGGCGACCGGGTGTGGTGCTGGTCACTCGCCTCCTCGTGTGCCGTGCCGGCACTCGTAGCTGCTCGCTTACAGCACTTGCCACGAAAGTACGTTAAGCCTATGCAGGGGACCTTTGTCTTTGTATGTATGAGGGTGTGGGTGAGTGTGTGAGAGAGTGACTGTATTTGTATGGTGATGAGTGTGAGTGTGTATTTACGAGTGAGGAGCGGTGGTGCAGCGATTAGCTCACTGCACCACGAACCCAGGGATCCCGGTTTGATTCCCGCTCACGGCCAACGCCAGTGACGATTATCTGAACCGGTCCTGGGCCTCCTCTAGGTCCACTCAGCCTCAAAGGAGTATCCGGTGCGGTGTGTAAACATCACCACAAGAGAGACAAAGGCGACCGGGGCTGATGCCGGCCACCCACCACCTCGTGCGGCGTGCCGGCCTTCATAGGCGCCGCTCGCTAACAGCGCTTGCCCCGATAGCCTGCTAAGGCTATCCGGGTGACTTTTGTCTTTGTGCGTAAGCGTGCGGGTGAGAGGGAGCGAGGCAGAGTGACGGTGAGTGACAGTGAGTGACAGTGAGTGACTGTGAGTGACTGTGAGTGAGTGACAGTGAGTGACTGTGAGTGACAGCGAGTGAGTGACAGTGAGTGACTGTGAGTGACAGTGAGTGAGTGACAGTGAGTGAGTGACAGTGAATGACAGTGAGTGAGTGACAGTGAGTGACAGTGAGTGGCAGTGAGTGAGTGACAGTGAGTGGCAGTGAGTGAATGACAGTGAGTGAGTGACAGTGAGTGGCAGTCAGTGACAGTGAGTGACAGTGAGTGAGTTGACAGTGAGTGAGTGATAGTGAGTGACAGTGAGTGAGTGACAGTGAATGGCAGTGAGTGACAGTGAGTGAGTGACAGTGAGTGAGTGACAGTGAGTGACAGTGAGTGAGTGACAGTGAGTGACAGTGAGTGAGGGACAGTGAGTGACAGTGAGGGACAGTGAGTGGCAGTGAGTGAGTGAGTGACAGTGAGTGGCAGTGAGTGACAGTGAGTGAGTGACAGTGAGTGACATTGAATGACAGTGAGTGAGTGACAGTGAGTGACAGTGAGTGACAGAGTGAGTGACAGTGAGTGAGTGACAGTGAGTGACAGTCAGTGACAGTGGGTGACAGTGAGTGACAGAGTGAGGGACTGAGTGGCAGTGAGTGAGTGACAGTGAGTGACAGTGAGTGGCTGTGAGTGAGTGGCAGTGAGTGGCAGTGAGTGAGTGACAGTGAGTGGCAGTGAGTGACAGTGAGTGACAGTGAGTGAGTGACAGTGAGTGACAGTGAGTGACTGTGAGTGAGTGGCAGTGAGTGAGTGACAGTGAGTGGCAGTGAGTGACAGTGAGTGAGTGACAGTGAATGAGTGACAGTGAGTGAGTGAGTGACAGTGAGTGGCAGTGAGTGAGTGACAGTGAGTGACAGTGAGTGAGTGACAGTGAGTGGCAGTGAGTGAGTGACAGTGAGTGACAGTGAGTGAGTGACAGTGAGTGACAGTGAGTGATGGTGAGTGAGCGACAGTGAGTGAGTGACAGTGAGTGACAGTGAGTGAGTGACAGTGAGTGAGTGACAGTCAGTGACAGTGACAGTGGGTGACAGTGAATGGCAGTGAGTGACAGTGAGTGAGTGACAGTGAGTGACAGTCAGTGACAGTGGGTGACAGTGAGTGACAGTGAGTGAGTGACAGTGTCTCTGAGTTCAACTGAGTGAGAGTGATTGAGAGTGTGAATGAGTGAGAATGAGTGGTAGTGTGATTTAGTGAATGAGTGGAGAGTGAGTGAGAAGGCGAATCCTTCAATGAGTGCCAGTGAGTTAGAGCTTGGTGAGTGTGAGTTAGTTCATCATCCATTGATTACCAAGTATCAGTCAGTTACTAGCGGTAACTCGCCCATGTAGCAACAAGTATTAGTTACTGTCCCATGTAGCATCACATACTGTAGTAGTCGGTGACTAAGCCATACAGCACCAAGTATCAGTCAGTTACTAGCCGCTATAGCAACAAGTGACAGTGAACGAGTGATAGTGAGTGAGTGACTGTGAGTGAGTGACAGGGAGTGATAGTGAGTGACCGTGAGTGACAGTGAGTGATAGTGAGTGACAGTGAGTGACAGTGAGTGAGTGACAGTGAGTGATCTATAGTGAGTGACAGTGAGTGACAGTGAGTGACAGTGAGCGAGTGACAGTGAGTGACAGTGAGTGAGTGACAGTGAGTTGCAGTGAGTGAGCGACAGTGAGTGACAGTGAGTGACAGTGAGTGAGTGACAGTGAGTGACAGTGAGCGAGTGACAGTGAGTGACAGTGAGTGACAGTGAGTGAGCAACAGTGAGTGAGTGACAGTTTGTGAGTGACAGTGAGTGACAATGAGTGAGTGACAGTGAGTGACAGTGAGTGAGTGACAATGAGTGAGTGACAGTGAGTGACAGTGAGTGAGTGACAGTGAGCGACAGTGAGTGACAGTGAGTGAGTGACAGTGAGTGACAGTGAGTGAGTGACAGTGAGTGAGCGACAGTGAGTGAGTGACAGTGAGCGACAGTGAGTGAGCGACAGTGAGTGAGTGACAGTGAGTGACAGTGAGCGAGTGACAGTGAGTGACAGTGAGTGACAGTGAGTGATAGTGAACGAGTGATAGTGAGTGACCGTGAGTGACAGTGAGTGAGGGACAGTGAGTGACAGTGAGTGAGTGACAGTGAGTGACAGTGAGTGACAGTGACTGAGTGACAGTGAGTGACAGTGAGTGAGTGACAGTGAGTGACAGTGAGTGAGTGACAGTGAGTGGCAGTGAGTGAGTGACAGTGAGTGGCAGTGAGTGAGTGACAGTGATTGACAGTGAGTGAGTGACAGTGAGTGAGCGACAGTGAGTGACAGTGAGTGAGTGACAGTGAGTGAGTGACAGTGAGTGTGTGTCAGTGAGTGACAGTGAGTGAGTGACAGTGAGTGAGTGACAGTGAGTTACAGTGAGTTAGTGACATTGAGTGAGTTACAGTGAGTGAGTGACAGTGAGTGTGTGACAGTGAGTGAGTGACAGTGAGTGAGTGACAGTGAGTGAGTGACAGTGAGTTACAGTGAGTTAGTGACATTGAGTGAGTTACAGTGAGTGAGTGACAGTGAGTGTGTGACAGTGAGTGAGTGACAGTGAGTGACAGTGAGTGACAGTGAGTGAGTGACAGTGAGTGAGTGACAGTGAGTTACAGTGAGTGAGTGACAGTGAGTGAGTGACAGTGAGTGTGTGACATTGAGTGACTGTGAGTGAGTGACAGTGAGTGACAGTGAGTTAGTGACATTGAGTGAGTGACAGTGAGTGACAGTGAGTGAGTGACAGTGAGTTAGTGACATTGAGTGAGTTACAGTGAGTGACCGTGAGTGACAGTGAGTGAGTGACAGTGAGTGTGTGACAGTGAGTGACAGTGAGTGACAGTGAGTGTGTGACATTGAGTGAGTGACAGTGAGTGTGTGACATTGAGTGAGTGACAGTGAGTTGCAGTGAGTGAGTGACAGTGAGTGACAGTGAGTGAGTGACAGTGAGTGAGTGACAGTGAGTGACTGAGTGAGTGACAGTGAGTGAGTGACAGTGAGTGACAGTGAGTGACTGAGTGAGTGGCAGTGAGTGAGTGACAGTGAGCGAGTGACAGTGAGTGACAGTGAGTTAGTGACAGTGAGTGAGTGACAGTGAGTGAGTGACAGTGAGTTAGTGACAGTGAGTGACAGTGAGTGAGTGACAGTGAGTGACAGTGAGTGACAGTGAGTGAGTGACAGTGAGTGAGTGACAGTGAGTGAGTGACAGTGAGTGACAGTGAGTGAGTGAAAGTGAGTGAGTTACAGTGAGTGTGTGACAGTGAGTGACAGTGAGTGAGTGACAGTGAGTGACAGTGAGTGAGTGACAGTGAGTGACAGTGAGTGAGTGACAGTGAGTGACAGTGAGTGAGTGAAAGTGAGTGAGTGACAGTGAGTTACAGTGAGTTAGTGACAGTGAGTGAGTTACAGTGAGTGTGTGACAGTGAGTGACAGTGAGTGTGTGACAGTGAGTGAGTGACAGTGAGTGTATGACATTGAGTGAGTGACAGTGAGTGAGTG